TCTTTTCTCCAGTGACGGAGACCGAAGATAGAAGGTCCAAGAACTGCTTCCACGTCTTGACGGACGGTGTCGAGCCAATTTTTCAGTTGCCCTCCTCTTCGACCTTTCCAGGTGTGCTGAGGTGCCGGGTCGAGAGCACATAACAAAGCTCGTTGGGCGGACAACGGAGAACGTGTCCAAACCACCTCAGTCGCCTTTCTTGAATGGCCTGAGATATCCTCGCGGCACGATCGCAGCGGCCGACAGCTGCAGTGTTCTTCCGCTGATTCAGTCATTGCGGCGCCGCTGAGTTAATCCGAGAATTTTCTCAGCTGCCTCATAGATGGATGTCTTCAATGATGGCCACTTGCTACTGCCTTCGCTGTCAGCTTGGGTCGTTAGACGGGACCTCATGTCATTTCCACAAACATCTTATCACCTAGTATGAACCATCGCAGGTGCGGAAATCGCTGTGGACAAGGATAAGGCTGATCATCTCTCTCAGTTCTTCCGGTCCCCCATGACGACCGAACCCAACTTCTTCCCCTCCCTTTCCCTAATTTATGAAGATGATGCGATGCCTTTTATTGACGCAGGCCTCTTTACCGAAGAAATTATTCAGATAGGGTTACTGAACTTCAAAGAATTGTTCTTCCCAGACCCCGATGGAATCCCAGCCAAACTGTTGAAGGAGCTAGCTTCTGAAATGCCAAACCCGCTAGCCTTACTATTCCAGGAGTCATTTACTGCTGGGTGCCTGCCCTCCGATTGGAAGTCCGCAACGTTCCCTCCACTAGTCGAGAGTTCCTTCTTTAGGTATGTCATCTGCGAATAATTACAGGTCGATGAATATTACCTTCATTTGTTGCCAAACAAAGGAAAACATCCTTGAGAAAGCGTTGATGCCATTCTTAAACACTGGACCGAAGCACGTGACAAAGGCAAAGACCGCTGTCTTCTCTTCATAGAGGAAATAATAAAGGCAGAATTACTAAAATTGAATGAATCGACCTCCCCAGGCCCCGATGCAAGCCCGACCAATCTGTTATAGGAACGAGCTTCTGAAATGGACAAGCCGCTAGCCTTAATATCCCAGGCGTCATTTGTTACTGGGTGCCTAGCCTCTGATTGGAAGACCGCAACGATCACTCTGCTGTTCAAGAGTGGAAACCGAGCGTCTGCACGTAATTACAGTGAGACTTACCTTCATTTGATGCAAAACCATGGAAAGAATAGTTCAGAAGGCTTTGATGCAGTTCCTCGTATGCCCTCACCACCTCTTCGCAGTGGTAAGACCTGTCTTACGAAACTGCTTTTCTCACTTAAACGCTGGACGAAAGCATGTGACGAAGGCAAAATGCTGTATGCCATCTAAATTAACCTCAAAAAGGCTTTCGACAGCGTGTCTCACCAACGACTCCTGCATAAACTGCGCAGCACAGGAGTTCGCGGGAACCCCTCTCTATGAATCCAAAAAGTTTTGACCGGACGGTCCCAAAGAGTAAAAGTCGGGCGTCAGCGGACCTCGGAGGTATGGGTAGCGAGTGGCGTCCCAAACAGCGCAATTTAAGGTCCCAAATTATTCACTGATTTCATCCATGACTGTGTCGGGGACCCAGGCTGTGATGTCACCCTGTTCCCTGACGACATAAAATTGTGTAAAGTCCATCTAAAAGCTAATTTTAACAGATTGGAGGACTGGTCAAAGCATTGGCATGTGCCCTACAATGCAAGTGAATGCAACTTTCTCGAAATCGGCAGTTGTAGAGCATCCAGCCTGAAGGTTAATTCCTTAAACGGTACACAGCTGCAGCAAGTCAGAAGGCAGTGAGTATCTGGATTATCTCTTTACTCAAACCAACACTCATTTTTACGATATACGAATGGGCTTCCTCGCCATAATATTATTGGTGGTATTTCTGCTGCAGTAGTCTTTCGCTACAACCAGCGTTGAATGCACATTGAAAGCGTAGATCCCTAGGAATGGAGTCTTCCATTGCAAACTTGCATTCCTGTCCTTTATATCTGGCTTATGCTTGCGGTTGTCTGCATAAAATGCAGTTCCATGTATCACGACAAATCATCAATAAGGAAGCCAAGTTAGGCGAACTAAAGTTTTTGATTATAGCATCATTAGGCAATACTATAATGTAAGGGAAGGTAGAGTTAACGAAAGTTTAAACAACCAATCAGTAACAATTAGGTGGGGAGAGGTGTAAATGGATCAAGGAGGTCAGATTCTAGTCTTAGTTGGGGACCAGAGAACGGAAAGGGGTGGACGGGGAGGGGGAAAGCAAGGAGACCGACAATTAATTCATATCGTCCCGTTGTCCGTGTCTCGAGTGTTGTTGGGAGGTGTGAGGAGGCAAGGTGTCATCGTCTCGTGACGGCGTCGGTGGTACGAAGCGTGGGGCGGATGCTGAGTTGGCTTTCGGCTACGGGAGCCTTAGCGCCGCTACAAACGTCTTCTGCGCAAATAAGATTGGGTTAATGAGGCGTATGATTGGTTGGTTACTTAAACTTTCGTTAAGTCTACTCTCCTATATATTATTATATGGCCTGATGATGAATCAATCGAAAACGTTCGTTCGAATAACCTGACTTCATGAATGCTTACATGCGTATTATCGCTGAACAGAAAGCACCATTACTTAAAGGCTTTTGCGGTAAACTCTCAAGACGTACATCTTCCTACTCTTGCCTGTGCTGGCGACACCTCCCTTCCTCAGGTCCGAAAGTTGACCTTTTCATACCATTTAGATTTTAAACCAATCGACAGTCTGAACAGCTAGGTTTTTCACGTTAGTTGCAATTCCCTGATGTTGACTAGGATCATTTAGACAACCATAAGCGAATGGCAAGTTATTGAGTATTGGGTAATTTGTTTAGTGTGCATATGGTGTATTCTGAGAGTGAATTCTATTGCCAATGGAGGAGGATATCCGAGTTCCAGGAGGCAGTTCGGAAGAAGAAGAAGCTATTGGTAAGGGCTTTGAAGACTTCGTCGGAGGGTGAATTTGTTCGTGAATGTCTCAAGGAATTCATGTCAGTCCAGCGAGGCCACACATAGGGCCTCTTTTTGATTCTCCGGTCGTAAGACATAGGTTTTTTCCTTCCGTTTAGCCTGCGCCTCCCGGAACTCGAGATGCTCTAGAAGTGGTCCAGGAACCTGCTGCTCTGGATGCCAGGACCACGCAGGTTATTCAATTAATGCATCGGAACCTGGATGTGGTAAACCTTGATCTTCCCGCCTTCGAGGGTATGGTTCAAGGTCTAGCCCGTACTCCGCCAGATGATGCTACCCTGAGGCAGTTGCAGGTAAGTGGCAGCTTATTCACTGAGTGCGTATTCCCTTATTCACTTGTGGATGGGAGATGTTTGTTATTACTCGTATAGGGAGGGTTGGGTTGGGCTATTCAGTTAGCGTTCACGCGAAATATCCACCCATTTCCTTTATGATCCGCTCACACCCCTGCGTCCTTTTATGTATCAATTGTTTTAACGAGTTACCTGACATAATAATGTAATTTCTCGTCGTATACCTGCTTTCTTTAGATTTCTAACGAGATGGATCCCAGCAGTTAACTTCCTCCACACAGCAGAGAGTTTTAATTCCGACTTGCATGCTTATAGGTGTCCATTGTTTTAACGAACTACAGTGGAATTCCGGTTAACGAGTTTAATGCGATACGGCACCGAGCTCATATTGCGAAACGCAGCCAATCAACGTACATTGACTGCAGGTGACCTTAGAGAAAGCCTCAACAGCGACAAAAGAAACGCAGAAACCCGACTTGCCAACTCTTTTGACTGAAATGATGCTCGTCAATCGAGGCAAAGTTTCTGCTAGTGGCTTGCTTGTTGCCTGAAATGCTCGTAGGTGGTGTTACTCCTCACCCGCTGATCCACTGTATGTGTAATTAAAAGAGCAGTACTAAAAAGGAGGAGATTGAAATGATCACTGGAGCAGGCCAAAACGTATAGTAGAGTTACAGGACGACTTGCTACGTATCAGGCTTTTCTTTGCGTGTGACAGATGATGTAATATTTGATTAGGACTTTTCGAGGGCATTAGGACTATCTTCAGCGACGATTAAGTTGCGCATAGAGTGTGCTGAGTTTGGTTATCTTTGTGGAGGTAGCGGAAGAATTGCAGTCTTTGTTTGTTGAATGAAACCGACACGGCTTCGAAACAACTCACGAAACCTTTTACACATTAGCGATGTAGGAAATGGAACGACCATTTTTGCTGTCTTCACGTCGTCAGGCAGGCGATGACATATTTCATAGTTGAAGTCCAGTCAATGTGAGCGAACTCTGTCATCTCAAAGTAATTATTGCTGTAGATGGTCTAACTAATGAAATTCAATGTTACCCTGTTTCTCAAAGGCAGCCGAAAGTGCGGCCCCCGAAGTCTTACAGCCATAAAGCAATGGAAACCGAAGCAGTTTTAAGTATAATTGTTTACTTCTAGGTTCAGTTCTAAGATAACAAAGGCAGAAGAGAGTAGCAGAATACCAGCGACGATTTTTAGAAAAAAATCAATCTACTGCCCGTTAATTTTCAATTTTTTTATTGATTAATTCTGCTTTATAGATAAAAAATGTTTGGACATATTTTGCATACGGTTTAAGAGAGAAAATTGACAGCATTTCTTAGGTGTTTGCATATATCCTTGTTTACGGTCGTTATTTTCGGTGAAGTATAGCAAAGGACAATCTGATAAGTTAATTTCCCAATTTTATGGCACAAAACTTGGCAGCTATGCAAAATAGAATTTTCTGAAACTTAGTTCGCTTTCCCTTTCCAAAAAATAATGCGCTAACCTCAATTTCATGAACGCAAAACAGAATTGTTTGTTCTGTGACTATATATACTTAGGAAGTTTGCACTTTTAATGATGTTCTTTTATTGTACAACACGCAAAAACGAGGAATTTTTTCTGCAGAGTTCAATTGTTTAGGAAATTCCTTTGATAACAAAAACATTGAATTTTGCGCTGTTGTGCCCCCAGAATACCGAACGCTTTGCTAGTAAATAGCGTATTGCACCTCAAGTCAACGCAATGAAAAAAAAATAAACAAGCTTAAGTGTGTGTTAAATAACTCACTTAAGTTTTGATCTTCACATTTCCTCAGATATTAGATCTACTGTATATAGGAATATAAAGGTAAAGACATCAGGCTTTGTGCTAACGGCGCACTCCAACTTTCCAAAATGACCGCTTGTCCCCATTCTTTTGTATTTATCAGTTTCTTTTCCTCACAAACTCCTGTATTCCCTTGTAGGCCACTGCTGACCGCCTTCAGGACCTTGAAAGAAGACTGGAAGCATACATTGGACCTCTGACAGGAAGCATTAAGGAAAAGAAGGCCACGCTTGATGAGCTGATGCAAGTGAAGAAGAAAATTAATGATACTGTTCAGCAGTTCCAGTCGTTCG